TTTTTCATAAACAGACGCATACAAATTATGTCAACAACTAATTATATAGGAGTTTGCCATTGTTATTTGGGTCTTATATTGTGTATAGTATAATTTGCCAATAAGACGAGTAGAACTCCTTGTGAAAGTGTTCGTCCAGGGAAGTACTACCACCTTACCTATTTCTGCCACCAAGCTGTAATGTGAGCATTACTGTGAAGACACGTAGTACATTATTGCAGAGTCCGGGAAGTAAGGGATTGCTGGACGAGTATGAGTTACAAGGACGACCGCCAGCGAGGACTTGTAACTCATACAAGTTCAAGACAAAAGAGACAAGCAATCCCCCTGCCTATCGAGGCATGTATAAATTTTTTCTCAAACAAATTAAGGAAATAACAAAAGACTAAAGAGAGGAAGATGTATAATAGAAAAAGTACAAAATATTAATTAATATTAAAAATAATAGAAGTGATGACAATAGCTAAAACATGTGTTTTGTCTACGAGCTACAATTTACAGATCACAGTAGCTTGAAAATGCTTTTTATTTCTAATTGCATTTTTTTTTATTACGATACAGTTTTACGCTTAAGTCTACTCTTAATTATAAAGATTCTATCACTCTATATAATGTACTAATGTGCATATACAGGGTTATTTTTCTTTATGTTTTAATAATTTTACCGTAATTGTACTTTTGACTATTTGTAATAATTTCTATGTTTTTAGTTTATCTAGTTTTAAATGAAATATAGTATACTGTAATACAACTTTGGATATATTTAGAATGTACTTAAAAATTTACATTGCTGTGCCCTTAGAGGGTTCATGTTTGATACTGTATGTACTAATTTAAGACCTATATTTAACAACATGTTTGTAATAAAACATCTGATTTTGAATATTTGTTAAAAAAACAGACTCACAGGACTGTATTACTACGTAAGAGTAGTTACACACGGCGAATTTTAGCAGTGATGCAAACGCGATGCAAATGCGATACAAACGCGATGCAAACGCGATACACGTTTTTAATTAATTCTTTTTTGTTTCGTTTCACTTAATTTTTTTTTTATATATGTGCTAAATGATTATCACTAATTACAGGGATCTTACCACGGTATGAATTCTTTTTATTTTCCCGAAACCAACACTCATTTGGTATGAGAAGCCATCGAGATCACAAAGTACCAAACTTTAACCGTGAAGATAGATTTAAAATCCAGTGCTTAGTGCTTATAATACCAATACAACATAACAGTCCAGTTACCACGCTGGATTACCATGCAGAGGTCTAGGGTTCGATTCCCAGGCCGGGAGAAATATTTGTTTGTATGGCGTACATTTATTTCTCTCATGAGTTTGGGTATAATTTGTGGTTGTCTATATGTGTGTCCATGGCACCCACGATACAGGGTTTCCCTAGTGCGGGACTATGAGTGTGTGCGTTATCATTATTATTATTATTATTAATAATAATAATAATAATTAAAACAAAAATACTTCGACTTCAGTTTCGCGTGTCGGTACTGGCCAGTTAACCCGTAACCATGGACCGTGTAACCGTTCCAAAATATCGGGTAAATAAAATGAACTCATACCGTGGTAAGAAATAAAGAACTCATACCATAAGAACCCCGTAATTAGTTATCATTATTTAGTGACTAACCAAGGATACCTTTCAATTTATGTGCATAAGGCTGCCTACTCTAGATATGTTAATAAGTATTTGAGCAATAGGCATTGACTTACAATTATATGGACGTCGGGTCCGCGCTAAAAAGTGTCCGAACTTATAGGGCGTTAAAATCGAATACAGAGCGTCATTCACGCTTTAGTCTTCGTTTGTTCGACTGACAGCGATGCAAGCAAAATTAGACAGTACTGCGATGACATTACAATTTAAATTCAACGTTTTAGCTTTTTCATATTCCTTTACAAGTCACTACGCTTAAATAGGTTGACTTGGGACATTTTTTTCGTGGTTTTTGTATTAGACCCGTCGTCCATTTATTTGTAAGTCAATGGCAATAGGCATATAGTTATAATGAGTAAATAGCACACAACATCATTAAGTACGAATCCGAAAAAAATATTACGTTTTACGTAATTAAAATAACATTCGTAATTCTGCTTTACAGCGGACACCATAATGCATTCTTTAATTATATTAAACTTGTTCCATTAAGTGCCTTATTGACTAAATGATAAATTACTTACACTGCATCCACTTTGTTCATAGTTTTCTTTGCACTATATGTCCACTCGCACTAAATTTAAATATATCTTAAACTTATGTTTAAATTGGTAACATACTTTTATCACAATGTATTTAGAGTGTCCTTTGAGTTTTTTAAGTTTAGTGCAAGTGTATGTAAGTCTGCTAAGAACTGGACGCCATTTTGTAATAAGTATATCAAGGCTATCTAAGATCTATATCGTGGTTAACTAACCACGATATAGATCTTAGATGAGATCTAGTTAGAGATGCCTCTAGGCAACTGCAGCTGAGATCTCCCCAATATGTCAATAAAAACAATGCCTACTTTCCACAACCTCGTTCAGTAGTAACTCCTGGCAGTTGAGAGCATCACACGTTCACAGTCGATAACTCCATCTGGAGTTGCAATATATATAGTGCAATCACGCGTAACTAACATTTGATTAGGAGTATTTCGGTAATTGAGTTGCCAAATCAAATTCGCGGAAATGTCGTGGCAACCAAATTAGCATGATTTATGGGAATCTATTGTTATCAGTCCGAAGACAACATAAATTAATGCTTACTGTGCAAAAATGAGAGTTGTAACCATTGAAATAACAAAGTAATAACGTTGAATCCCTCTCCAGTAAAAATTTGGTTTGTGCAGATACGCGCCTTTTCCAAATGCTACGTACGCGGATTTGTACTATCCCCAACGAATTAAGTCCACGCATACAATGTCAAATAATTTGGTTGGACTTGTAGATCGAAGCCCTAATTTTTTTAAACTTGTTTATGACGGCAGTATTTTAGAAAAATGTACTTTTTCAAAAAAAAAAATATATATATCCAATATCATATAATATAATGTGAAAGTAAAAGACAAAACCAACACTATTTCACACAAATTCCGGTGGATTTACCGGTGGGTTGATTTCGGCCTTTATATTGGGGACTATGAACGTGTTCAACCTCAGAGTCATGATGGCTTCCCAGGGCCCGTGGTTTCACGGACCGCGTCACGCGAGTTCGCGGCAACGCGCCGTGGGTAGAGTGCCAGCGCGAGCTCCTATGTACGAGTATGAGCCCGTGGCGTGAGATCGCTCATACAAATCGGCGCGACGCGGTCCGTAATATCACAGGTCGTGGCCAGCCGCAACTATATATAGAATCAAAAACACTGCACTGCACCAGCAACTTTTAAATTCTTATTTTTAACAGGAACTTAAGCTTTTATCGAAAAGCCGCAATTGTCGAAAATTATATTAATGAAAGGCAGTAGTACAAACACAACTCGCGAAATCAAACTGTGTGTCGCCAACCGTATGTCCTGCGAAATTCAAATATTGGCGCGAAATTAAAGTGAGCGGTGTAAAATGAGCATTTTAATTACCTGTGTAAAAATCACTGGGCTTTACAGTTGCCTAGAAGTACCGCGGTACCTAATATTTTATATTACTAGTAAAAGCATGGGATAATAACTTAAGAAGACTTCTAATCGCGGCACAAGATGGCATAGTCGAGTATTTAGTACCTATTGGTACACCAGAAGTCGCGACGAGTACCAAATAGCAATGAATAAAAGCTACTCTAATTTCTAGTGATAACAAACAAATCAACTAGATGGCGCTTATTGCACAAATATTTTATGGAGTCTTCTGTTTTGTTTAGGATTAGCACCATCTCCCAAATTAGGAAGCGTTAATTTAAAATTTAGTTTGTAACACACAATGCCATCTATTCATACGCATATTTGTCAAAGTTCAGACAATAATTTTAGCTCATGACCATTACCTATTTGAATAATAATACAAGAAAACGAAACTGACTTGTTATATTAATGTTCACGGCCAACATCGAGTATATAACCAGAAATACAGACGAAATAACTTAAAGGTCCTGACTAAACATTTACGCAATGAATCAATTATTTATTTGCCTGTAGCTTTACAAAATTATTACAAACGCAATTCGTTTATATGGCGTGCGAGCAAAAACTTTAACAAACTTTCTGCCATTTACGATTTTGACTTATTTAACACTAGCTGTGCGTGTGTTAAGAAACATTTAACTAATTCATTTTTATGAATACAGTGAGTTGGCGGGTTTGAGTGGTGATACATTTTTGCAAAGTGTGAAGAGTATGTGTGTGTGTGTGTGTGTGTTATGTTATATTTATATTGTTAATGTTAATGTTATATTGTCTTACTGTTATCAATGCATCAAATATTATTGTATTTTTATCAGTAGGGAACTGTTTTGCTTCAAATTATTTAATTAAGTCTCTATTTTATTGTAATATAAGCTGTTTGTGCCCTCCAAAATATAAATAAATAAATAAATAAATAAATAAATAAATAAATAATTAAATAAATAAATAAATAAGTAAATAAATAAATAAATAAATAAATAATCCATCCCTGGCAATTCATCAGGCAATTGGGCTTTGTATCACTATTAAATACCATCAATTCTCGTTTGCACTGAAATCCCAAATTAGAAAACTGAAATAATACAGCGCCAACAACTGACCTATGTGTACGTCTCCATACATTCCAAAAATACTCTGTATTTATTGTACAAACATAATATCTCTAACAATGGGGGCTGTTCCATTCGGTGCTGTGGGAAAAACAGCAAAACATCTAATTACAAAACAAACGGAATCATATTTCATCGGTAATTAAATATTAAATATGTAATTTTGCTATTTTCTTTCGTCCTTTATAGCAAACCTCAAGTAAAACTGGTCGATTTGAAGTGAAACAATTGACGACACCTGTCAACTGTTCCCAATTCGGGCTGGCCAATCGGAGCGCAGTGGTCACAGTAATAATTTGACAGAATAGTTTTCAAATAAATTAAATGACATTTCGTCTCTAATTCCGGTATACTCGATGACGGCCAATTACATAACTCAAACTACTTCCATTCTATTCTATATACATCAGCGTCATCTAGACATAAGATGGGATTTCGACCATTTTCAGAGTTACAATCTGTAGTATGGAGATTAAGTCTTAAGTTTTGGTCCATGGTAAAAGATGCTAAAAATATTACAAAATCTCGTAGTAAAATATCAAGTCTTTATACTCAGTGTCCTTAAATAGGAGCTCTATAAGGCTGCTCATAGCAATGAGTGTCACTTGCATGGTGTCTGCGTCGAAGTTGGTTTCGTTCACCGCGGAGTTGCAAAGCAAAAATTCAGCTGTTTTGTTACTTCCATTGGTATTCATGTACCATCTGAAAATAAAATAAAAAGAATGTACAGCGTGAAATTTTAATTATTCATTTTATGTTTAATTTATGCTCATAAAAATTCGTAAAATAGCTATCATCGTTTTTTAGTAAGAGGCTTTTTAATTGAGTCGATTTTTTTAGTTGAGACGGATCATCCTTGTGTGTACGGAAATATTCCAGGCCCTTGAAGGAATATTCTAAATTATCGAAAATCCAACAACCGTGACCCAGCTCCTTTTTTGGAAACATTAGGAGAACATTTCCGTACCACGACTTTTTGTTTTTTATTTTAATGCAAATGGAAAGTTACTAGACTATCATAATCTAGAACTGGCTATCTTATTAAATTCAATAACTAGATAAATGAAGCCAATTGAGCCCCAAGCTTATCCTTCCATCGTGTTATAAAACTGAAATTAACACAGCCCCAACCCATAGTGCAAGGCACAGGTTTCCCCAAATATAATAATAGAAAACTCACAGCAAAATTTTTTTCATATAATGGTACCATTTCAAAATCTGTGCGGGAGACCGTCTCGACCGGTGGGGCCAAATCACCATATCGTCGGTACAGTCGTGTGACGTGGACGGCAGCGACTTCGCTCCGCAGGGCGTAAAGTTCGGCGGCTGAAAAGGAACACTACATTGATCAGAGGAACTACTTAATAATGAGAGTCGAGCCGATGAAGTCCCGCCACAAAGTGAATTTTAATTCGTTTGTGGTGGAGTGCCGACCCAACATCTGTCGCCCTACATGAAGGAAAAGTTTTAGTCGAAGGGAGACATATTCCGCGACCGGTTACCTGACACCAGATTGCACCACACGTCGCCAACAAGTACAATTCTTTCAGATTAGTTATTTAGTTTCTGTATTTTTTTATAATATCAAATGACGGGACGAACAAGTCGTGCGCCTTGTGATAAGCTACATGCCTGTTCATAACAGTTGCAGTGGCACTCAGAGCTTTAAATCGCAAAGATTTAACCTGCCAATGCGCCCGTCACCCTGACACGTAAGTTGACTAGTCTCATGTGCCTGTAATTTCACCAGCACCCTTGCCATTTAAAACCGGAACACAGGAATGCCGACATTAATGCTTGGCGGTAGAAATAGGTAAGATAGCAGTACTAACCTGGGCGAACTTTTTCACAAGGAGCTCTACTGCTACATTTGTAATAAATTCTAAAATAAAGCCGGTGCCCTGCCGCTCGACCCAAGCAAAATGAACCGTATTAATACGGGAAAAATTTCAAATCGAGCTGGGGTAGCATCGACTCTTTAGCAGCTGAATAGATCTTTATGGAGCAGCTAGATATATATGAATCCCTTTTAAATTAGCTTTCAAATAAAAAAAATTAATTCAGCCGCTTGGGAGCCTCGGTGTCACAGATAGACAGACACGCAAGTACACAAACATGACCTTCAAAATTGTAACTTTCCTCCTTTGTAATTTAAAATAACAAAACTACATTATGTTTGTTACTGTATACAATAAATCAAACTGTATTTACAACAAAAAATTATATTAAAAAAACAATGTCTACAAACTATCCGGCTCAAAGGACCATATGTGACTGCCAGATCCAAGCAGAATAAGTAGAGGATCTCGACGAACTCGTTAAATCAAAGACGATTTATAGTTTACAAAAGTAGTACCGATAACTTTGACCTACCAACAAAGCCGTTACAAGCAGTGTGGTTTCTTTTGGAAGAACTAATTAAAAGTGAACAGTCTTGTTGACCCATGTTAGTACAAAAAAATCATTAAATGTGGTAGGAATAAGATTTATGTGGTGTCAGTTAATTTGTGCAAAATAGAACCCCCCGGCTTATGTAATATATCGCCGTCGCAAATTTAATATCTCCTATGTATTAAAAGTAACTATGATCGAAAAACGAAAAAAAAGAGAGTATTTTTGTTGATTGTCATTGAAATAAGAAGATATTGACATGAGACTTTGTTCAGTCGGTTACTCTTTGGATATGCTTTTTAAATATTTACAAAACTGCTTGTCGACCGAATGACACATAATAGGTTTTAAATTTGCAACGAGGATATGCGTTTTGTTACTGCTTCGAAGAAAAGGTTACATTAAATTAAATTATAGAAATTCTGTTGCATTCGCAAAAGACCCTGTAAACGTCATTCGACACATTGCAATTGTATTTAAGTTGCATCATGTGATGTATAATTACCTTATCACCGAATTTCCTCAAATAAAGCTTCCGTATCAAAGCAGAAGTGACCACCGGCATTTGTTTATTGATTTGGTACGTTCCAGTCCTTTTGTCCTTGACGAGATGGTATTTCTTTATTGCGACTTCTCTTTTCACTTCCACCATAATTGACTCAAGGTCGTGCGTTATTGACAGCTCTTGAATTTTTTTGCAGAGGGTCGTGATGAACCAGGAACCCGTTCCTTTTCTGTGGAAAATATTTCAATATAAAAGAAGAGAATAGAGTATAAAGCAATGAGCTTCGAGTAAAATTTTAAAAGACTCAACAAACTTCACGCGTCTGTTAGAAGTTACAAAAGTGGATAGGACAGTTTTTTACAATACCAAGTGAGATGAACAAGTCGTGGGCCTGGTGGTAAGCGACACGCCTGTCCATAACAGTTGCAGTGTCACTCAGTGCTTTAAAACGCAAAGATCGGAGGGGCACTGGCACTGCATTAGTCACCCTGAAACATAAGTTGACAAGTCCCATGTGCCTGTAATTTCACCAGCACCCGTACTCTTCAAAACCGGAACGCAGTAATGCTTACAGTACTGCTTGGCGGCCGAAATACATAAGGTGGCAGTAGTTCCCTGGACGAACTCTTCCACAAAGAGCTCTACAGCTGCCAAAAGTTTAAAGAAAGAATAAAAGAAGATCGTAAGATACGACTGAGAGTAGTGCTGTGATACACGAAACAATCTTTGAGGTAGAGAGGAAAAGAGAAGAGAACAGAGTACCGAAAGGATAAAACGCAAAAGTTCCTGCGTAGACGAATGGGTAACCATCCAAGATTGGACCTATACCCAACCCAAAAAATGAACGAAATGCAAAGATTCTGCAAACACTCCAGCTTGTTGAGCAGCCCATCAGGCAAATCTGGATAGCATGCGTCTGCACAGTCTACAACAAGTAGAAGAAGCGACTGTGCTAGACTAATTTTAGTCGGAACAAATAGAAAATTTACCAGACGTCGTAGGGACATATAAGCAGGAAATATCCTCCTACTTACCTAATCGTAGCAGCGCAAGATATATGCATATATATCGAAATCGACGGTATTGATAGCATTGCTGAAGTTCAACAATACAAGGACTGTAAGCTATTGATTATCCATCCCTAATCGAATGTGTCCGAAATATTGAAAATAACTATAATCGTACTATGACGGAACGGACAACGGATTGAAATGAGTTAAGAAGGCGGCCATGACGGGCAAGAAAAATAGTGAATTGGTGATGGACTAACTTTTCAAGGACCTTGGACCAAGAACTTCCTCCCACTCCCGTCTCAAAAATTTCAAATTCAATATTTTCCAAAATTATTTTAGGTCACAGGTCGAGATACAAAATTTGAGCTACATCATGGCCTACACAATTGTTTTTTTTATACTATGTTCTTAATTTGCATATCGGTTGAGGTTACGGCCGAATAATTCCAATCAGAATTATGCAATTTCAGTGGATGCCAAGAAAGCTTCGCTCGCTGCGCTTCGATTAGTGGAAAAAAAATGGAACATTAATTTTAGCAATATATCAACAATCTAACCTATCAACCCTTTAGAGCAAATCCCATTACTAACAGCCACACAGACGATATGGCGAGAAATAGTTAAACCGAGATGTTTTTAACATACCAAAAGCCAATACAAATCAAATTATATTGAAAAACGTATTTTATGTATTCTATTATTAAATACTTGCAACTGGTCTCACCTATGCGAAGGCTTTCCCTCAGAAGAGCTGTGCAGCACTATAGTATCAGCTTCCACTGGCAGATGATAATGTTCTTCTTCGTTTTTGAAGATCCAATCTCTTTCTAGGTCCAAGGATTCTGATTTACGCCATGCTTTTGCTGCTTCCACATCTTCATCACCTCTACATGCCTGAAATTCACAATAATTGATGATTAGAACCATTAACTTATTATAACTTTTCATTGTGAATAAACTTATAAACGGAAAGACCGTTCTCCTGCAGAATAGTTGTCACAGCCACCCACAAATGTATCATTGTCACAGACGAATCAACATCTTAAGCCATCCTGTGCCTATAGTTAATAATAATAATAATAAAACGCACACACTCAACATAGCCCCGCACTAGGGAAACCCTGTGTCGCGGGTGCCATGGACACATACATAGGCAAACACAAATTACACCCAAACTCACGAGAGAAATAAATGTAGGACATATAAATATTTCTCCCGGCCCGGGAATCGAGCCTAGGACCTCTGCGTGGCAGTCCGGCATGGTAACCGTTCGGCCACGGAGGCAGTTAATAAATAGTAAATAGTTCCGTTAGCTGTCTAACTTCCAATCCAGAACAATGCAATGTTGCTTCTCGGTAGAAATGGATAGTATTCACTGTGTAGAACCTTCTAAGATGTGAGACAAACATTTTTAAGATGGGATGCTTAACTGCTATTAAGACCTCGAAGTCTTAAACCGCTTTTTTCTTTAAAAAACTCATTGAAGCTAGTTTCATAGCCACGAGCAGTCAGCGTTACTATACAAGCGAGTAAAACTGACCTGAATAATCATGACGATGGGTTTGGTGACCAGTGTACGTTTCTCCTTATGCTTGAAGTAGTTGAGAATGTCCCGCTCGCAATACGATTCGTCTTTCGCCATGAGAAGGCCATTTTCACCGCCATGGGTCATCACTACTATTACCACACAACCGTAGTTGGTAAAATCCATTGAACTAACTGTAAAGATCAGAATCGTAATAGGTAATAGTAAAAGTTTGACAATTTCCGATACACAACATCTTTAATGACCCGTATGTGCTACAGAAAGTATCTCAAGTTATTCAGTCAACGTCACCTTTATTATTATATATTAACCTATTATATGTGTAACTGATGGGCACAAATGGAAACTCAACCTTAGAGGATTCTAAGGAAGATTAAGACCATGGTCCGCCATGCTTTCCAAGGGTTGAGTGTCGGTTAACATGATTCAGCGTTAGCGATAGATATTGTTGCTAAAGATAAAAATGTTCTTAAGTTTGAAGTCCTAGGTACATGCCGCCATAGGGATTCGAAATGTCTCATTTATATTAAGAGGCAATCTTTCTCCCACTGAAATGTCACAGCTTTTATATTTGTACTCTATTCCTAAACACCTACCACAAAGTTTTAAGAGCGTCTGTGACAAATGTTAAACTTATGCACTAAACCACTTTTTAAGACCTGTGTTTGGTTAACCGGCTTGCATCCCGACTACATTGCAATTGCCAATGTGCAGTACGGATGCAGTTGCTGCAACTGCATCAAAACTACTGACTGTTCTTCAGTACTTCATTGAACTATAAATAAACTGCACATGGTGTGGCAAGCAGATTGGACAAACAGCCTGCAGTTCTAATGCAGTTGTGTTGACTATAAATACAGTGCATATTTACATACACCCAAAAGTGTACTTTCGGCGCTCATTCCTAATACATTATATAGGAGTAATCGATTCAGGTTACAGAATATCAAGGTCAAAAATATTTAAAACAAACCGAAGGCTGATGCTGGCTAGTTGATTTGCAGTTTAAACGTTGTGAAACTTCAGAGAATTTGTTCAATGATTTTTTTTTCAATCAATTAACGGGACGAAATAAGTCGTGCGCCTGGTAAGCGGCACGTCTTCCATAACAGATGCAGGACCACACAGAGCATTGAATAGCATGCCATTCTAAGTGATAACTTGACAAATCTCATATCATCTATCTATAATTTCAGCAGCCTTACCTTTAAAAAATAAGTATGGTGGGAGTACATCCCTGAACAGACTCTTCAACACAAGGTGCTCCATTGCTACTAAATTCCATTGTCCAATAGCAATTTGAACATTGATATCGTCGCGTCGGGGATAGTGCAATTACGCGTAACTAGCATTTGATTATGAGTCTCCATTTCGGTAATTTAATGACCCAACCAAATCCGCGTAAATGTTGTGGTAACCAAATTATTGTGATTTACGAGAATTTATTGTTATCAGTCCGTAGACAACATAAATTAGTGCTAACTGTGCAAAAATGAAAAACGTGGCCATTGAAATAACAAAGTAATAACGTTAAATCCCTCTCATGTGAAATTTGGTTTGGGTGCTGATACGCGCTTTTTACCAGTACTACATACGCGGATTTACACTATTCCCGACGATATCAAAAGTCAATTTTAAGGTAGGTAGAATATAAAGTAGACTAGGCGTATCGAACCAATAATCAGCCTTTATGACAAATTAAAACAACAAAAACCGACTTACATTTCTCCAATTCCTTAAAAATGTTCTTCTTAATAAGATCCATATGTTCTTTTCCTTCAAAACCAAATTTCTCAAGCGTTTCTTTAATAAGCCTTCCGTCTACATGAGTGCCGACTCTAAGTTTATGTTTGTTGACATCATATTGATTGAATATTATCATGGCATTCTTTTCGAAAGTTTCCAGTTTATATGTTGGTTCATCCGCAGCTAGAGCTCTGTTTTTTCTATGATCAACAGTTATTGATGATGAATCACTGTCTTCCATATCTGATGAATCCTCAGAATTGCCTTAAAATTACAGACTTTTTAATTAGTAAACCAAACAATCACACACTACATAAAAATAAGTTCCTATATATACTATAATATAATAATGAGCTTCATTACATTTGGATACTCCTACAGTAAAGTCAAACCTTTAAAGTGACATTTATTTATTTAAAACAAAACGTAACATTTCATATTTGGTCAATTTATCAACTATTAGTAGAACTAGCAACTGCGTCTTCAATTAGTAACCCAGATCGGAAACCATACTGATTTTTAGAAATAATGTTGTTATTTTCAAAATAACAGTCCAAGTGATTACTACTTAAGCGCTCTTTCAAGGATTTTAAATAAACAACTGAGCAATGAAATGGGTCTATAATTATAGAGATAAGTTCTGTCTGATTCTTGTGAACTAGAGTTACTAGACCCTTCTTCAAGGCTTCAGGAAAGGTACCAGATAAAATTGAATGATTGCCAAGATGAAAAATTATAGGAACTATACATATATACAATTTGGGCTCAAGAGTGTCTTTGTAGCGTCAAAGTACATTTATGATAATCTCAGTACAGAGTACTAAACAAACCGACTTAAAAAGTACGTGGAAATACATATAATTACCAAGTTTTATTGAAATCGGTTACCGGAAAGTGCACAAACCTGGATTGATCCCCTAGTTCGCCACTATACGGGACTTGACACAGGAGATAATAAGAATCGGTTCTCACTGCTCAAAGTATATTAAGAGAAAAAAACCCCTTGGATTGGAGAATAGAAAAATCATCCATTACATTAAATGCTCCTTATAATAAAATTTAGACGCTATTTATAAAAATGAATCTTCATGCGTGAAGCCACCCTTAGAGGTGGATGATTTTCTTAAAAATTAAATAGGACCACTATGGAGGTACCCTCTTTCCAACAAAAAAAGAATCATGAAAATCGGTTCACAAATACACAAATACCAGAGTTATCGAGTAACATGCATACAAAAAAAAAACATACAGTCGAATTGAGAGGTTAAAAATGTAATTTATGTTAAGAAGAATAGTAATTTATTTACGAAAAATACGAGACATTAATACGAGAAACAAAAAGAAACTGCCTGTTCTTAACAATTGTCTTCACAAAATCCTAAATTTATTTAAAGGGCAATGTGTATATGTGACGGCGCATTCGCAAAGTAGGTGATTAGTGGCGTCATATATAATCGATGATCCTCATTAAAACGATTCTAGCGCTACCTAGCAACAATAGTAGAACGAACACCAAGCACTTGGGAGGCCATGGTCATCTTGAGCAGCTTGAGAGGCGGTCCTTGGGTCGTGGAAACGTGTGCACGCACCCCCGTTTTTGGTGTAAATTATTTTGAATCTTAATTAATTGAAGCCATCCTTTATTGTTTCCTTCGGTTAGTGATTGTAAAATTAAGAATAATAAGAGAAATAATTAAGATAACCCGTATTTTTTTATATTGATACCATCTACTCGCTCGATAATCCACACCTAGAGAGAAAAAATGGAAAACCACTCTGATAGCGGCACGAACGCCGAACGTTTCTAATATAAGATTCCGGTTCATATTGAAAATTTGCCATTCACGAGGTTTAAAACTATAGTGAAACAAAAACTTTATACTAAAGGTTAATTTTCACAGCTTCTGCGTAGTTGGATGACAAAAATCCGCAGTAGTGACGAGTTTAGCTCTTGCAGGTAGTCTCGATGTTTGAAATATATATTGTAAATGATAATTGTGTACAAATGTTTATTTACAAAGACCAATCACTAGAGTTTCTCGCTCATTCTTCTCAGGGAAATCTGACTTACAAATGTGCAGCAGAGTTTAATCATGTTCACGATTATTTTTCGTCGAGTTTAATGAAGTGTAATATGCTCACCTAATAAATACAGATTATTTGAGTTTGAATCTGTATTGAAGCAAATTACAGGATAGTTTTATAACTAGAATACCTGCCCATACGATGACGCAGTTGCTTCGCATTGACTCAATTACTTTCTCGATCTCTTCTTCACACACGGGAGGAATGACTAGTAGAGGATGCATTATGAAGAATTAGAGGTAGCAGGTGGATCTTAGAGATCAAACTCTTTCCTATGCTAACGAAATATTTATTGACTATCAAGCAAAACTCAGTAGATGAAGATCAATTCCACGACGTGCATTTAATCTCCTATTTTTAATTTTGCAAATGCATTTTAAAGAACCGGCAACACTGTACAAAGGTCATGTCTTACATAATGTTATACTCGTCCTGAGCTACGCTTATAGTGATCACCATATTTACGCGCGTAGGTCAGTTGGGTTTGGCGCGTGCGGCAACTGACCGCCTATCACGCAGGTGCACCCGGTTCGAATCTAACTGTTGCTTGCATAAAATTCTTCAAATATAAATAACGGTTAACTTACAATAGGTAAGTCCAATGAAGATGATTTCGCGACCGTACTTTGCAACCAAAGATACTCTACGGCGAAAGAGACAAGAAAAGGACGTCACTGGGGAGCGAATGCCACAAAAATACCTCAAATCTTCAAACTCCTTCGTCGTGCAAGTAAAATCAATATGGCCACCGAGTTATACAGTAAAAGTCTCAAAATTAAACGGGAGGTCTTGAGTCACAGCTAAAAACTCTCATTAGCACTTAAGTCGAACGACACACGTCAATGAGCAAACACACGTCCGGCCTCAGTGAGAGTCAGCGAGAGAAAGGGTTAATACATATAATAACTACCAGAATGTCCAGAACTATAAATCAGAACCAATATAGAAAAAGTTCATTGTTACCATTTAAATACTCCTTAAAATTAAGTTTGATTAGTGATGTGACAGGAACAGTGAAATCGAAAATCGATATTAAAATACATCGACTGAACTATAACATACTTTAATCAGTGACTAAAATACTCATATAATTAATTAATACGGCCCACGAACAATAGCGAGTAAGCGATGAGACGTGACGCCATTATACGGTAATTTTCGGTTTAGTATCGGTACACGTAACCGAGTACTTATACTTAAATAATAGCATATTGGTACATATTGGATAAAAATTTGCCATAATCTCAGTACAGAGTACTAAAAAAACCGACCTCAAAAGTACGTCGAATTACGTCTATTTGCTAAGTTTCATTGAAATATCCCCTAGTTCGCCACTATACAGCACTTGATACTGGAGATAATAAAAATAGGTTCTCACTACGACACTACTTAAAGTATATCAGGGAAAAACGCCTTGAATTGGAGAAATAGCAAAATCAACTAAATAATTGCTAAAAGTAATTGCTCCTAAATTAAAGTTAGGCGCTATTTATAAAAATGAATCTTCATGCGTGAACAGCCACCCTTTGAGGTGGATGATTTTCTTCAAAATGAAATGTGACCACTATGGAAGTACCCCCTTTCCAACAAAAAAAGAATCATGAAAATCGGTTCACAAATACCGGAGTTATCGCGTAACATACATACAAAAAAAAAAGAACATACAGTCGAATTGAGAACCTCCTCCTTTTTTGAAGTCGGTTAAAAAATCACAAATTGGCTCGAAATAACAAGAGTAAAAATAATAATTCACGTAACACTTTAAAAATTACCGCCGAAACATTTTTCGATTGAACGAGTTGATTGGGGTCTTTATTTTTGATGGGAGACATCACACTATTTTTCGTGATATGGTAAGTGGTAAGTCAGTAATTCCCTAAACGAACTCTTTCATAAGGAGCTCTTTTGTTGCTATAGTTATTTGTTATGCAAGGCTGCAGAGTTGTTATTTGACGTGAGTGCTTGTACTGAAACCTGAGTTCGCTCGTGGTTAAAAAAATAGAATTCTGAGCGTAGCGAGGGTTTCAAGACACGAGACGAAAAACAACTATTCTGCCGAGCGCAACACACAACTTTTCACCTCACTGTAGCGAGGGAACTGGTAGATGAAAGAAAAACATTTGAACTATAACAAATCAGTTTTATTAAACAAAATTAGTTATAGCTGTCAATTTAATCTCAACAATAATAAGAACATAATATGCCGACGGATTTATATTACACAAATTTATTTATTTGTTCATTTTTTTATTCATTCATTTATTCTGTGTATCTGATTAAAGTATGTTACAGTTCAGTCGATATATTTTAATATCGATTCTCGATTTCACTGTTCGTGTCGCACTAATCAAGCTTAATTTTAAAGAGTATTTAAATGGAAAAAGTCCTTGATTCCAAGCTGACACAATTTAAGAAATGAATTTTTCTATATTGTTTTTTATTTATAGTTCTGGGCATTCTGGTAGTTATTATATGTATTAACCCTTTCTCTCGCTGACTCTCACTGAGGCCGGACGTGTGTTTGCTTCGTTCGACTTAAGTGCTGATGAGAGTTTTTAGCTGTGAGCCGAGACCTGTTTAATTTTGAGACTTTTACTGTACAACTCGGCGGCCGTATTGATTTTACTTGCACGTCGAAGGAGTTTGAAGATTTGATGTATTTTTGAAGCATTCCAGACGTCTTTTCTTATGAAGTATACGGTCGCGAAATCATCTTCGTTGGACTTACCTGTTGTACGTTAAACCGTTTGTTATGTTTGAATAATTTTTATGCAAGCAACGGTAAGATTCGCACCGGGTCCACCTGCGAAAGAGTTTGACCTCTAATATCACACTCCACCTGCTATCTCTAATTCTTCACAATACGTTTGAAATAGACCAATATTACTGTATATTATCTAGCCATTCTTCCCGTGTGTGAAGAAGAGATCGAGAAAGTAACAATTATTATTAGGTAGCGTTCTTGTAGGCACGTTTCATTTTAAGCATGATTGAATGTTTACGTACCTGAAGTATTGGTTGTTTTGTAGTACACACATAAAACATAATATCTGATCAAATAATCAATTAAAAG